ATTTTACCCACCTTGGAAGGATGGAAGGCTGAGTCAACCCTGAGCCGGTGAGATTTGAACCGCTGAACTGCTGATCTAGCAGTAGCCTGCAGTGCTACATTTAACCACTGCACCACCTCGGCCCTTGATGATTTTGTTTTGTGTCTTCTGAGGTTGGCTGATTTCAGGGCCCGGCGCTGAGTAAAACAGGCCGGCCTGCAGGGGGTCCTCAACTTACAATCCTTTGTTCAAAGTGACAGTGGCACTGAAAAATAACACAACGGTCCTCGCACTTGTAACCGTCATGGCTTCCCCAGCATCACATGATCAGAATTCAGGTGCTGGGTCAACCAGCGCATATTTGCAGCCTTCTGGGGGCCACGATCCCCAGATGCCGAGATGCCGCCCTGGGCAAGGGGAGGCTGGCCGCCCTCCGCCTGCCGGGTGATGGAGGTGCTGCCTCTGTCTTCCTCCCAGCTCCAGAGTGACTCGGCCGCGGGAGATCCTCACGGGGAACCCAGCCGTCATCCGCATGGTGGTGAGCTTCTACCGCAATGCCCGCGGGCAGAACGCCCTGCGCCAGATCCTGGCAGAGCCGGTGCGGGAGGTGCTGCAGAAGCGCAGCCTGAGCATCCGCACCAGCCCCGTGGAGATCTACAGGGGGTGGATCAACGAGACGGAGTCCCAGAGCGGCCAGAAGAGGTGGGTGGGCCACATGGCTCCCTTCCGGCTGGGAGGGAGGGCAGGGGGAGCTCAGGGCTTGACCCTCGGGGAGCCTACGGAACCCATGGAGACCGCGGGGGACACACACACAGAGGAAGGAAGGAAGGAAATGGGGCCATGGCAGGCACCCACAAATTGTTTTCTGCATGAGGCAAAATAAGACTCAGCTGCGGGAGGTGGAAAGAGCAAAGGTCTTGGTATGCTGTGGCTGTTTTCTCTCTCCCCAGCCACCTGCCGTACAACGTTACCCCACAACAAGCCCTCGCTCACCCAGAGGTCCAGAGGCGGCTGGACGCCTCCCTCGGCCACCTCCTTGTGCTGGCAGACAACTTCCTCTCGGCCATCCTCTCGTCGGTGGAGAAGATCCCGTACGGCTTTAGTGCCCCGTCTCTTCTCTCGTTCCGCTGCCCTCCTCCTCCCTCTGGGGTCGGCACCTGGCTCCTAGCAAGAAGCAGAGCCGCCGGTGTTAGGAAACGGCCACAATGTCGGGCGATTCCAGGCCTTTGCCGTGAAATCCTGCTAGAGGTGGCAGCTCCGTCTCAGCCCTTGCGAAGCTTCGGCCATCCACGCAACTGGCAGATGGGAAGGCGATGGGCTGAGATTTTAGACGACCTGGGAAAAGATGTTTCAGGCCAGGCGGCCCCTGCAAGGCTTTAAGCCACAAGAGGGACCCCCACCGAGTGATGAGGGTTCCTGGGCCACAGCTGTGTCTGCTTCCCCCAAAGAATTTCCCCCCTCCAATTTGCAACTTATCTTTTGCAACCACAGCCCTGCGGGGTGAACTGAGCCAAGGAAAGAGATAAAAGTCACGGCTGGAAGGGACCCCTGCCTTCCCCCCCACATCCCCCTTCCTCATCAGCATCCTTATAAAACCTTACTATGGTTTTATTTTAATTTAATATATTATCTTTTGTACAGATATTTATGCCAGTGCTTTATTCAAACTAAATGTGTATGCCATACACTAAATGAATAAATAAATAAATAAACCCTTTTGGGGAGAGAGGAAAGTTTTCACACCTATTAGATTAATGTTCGCCAAAACCACCCGTCCATCGCATTGCGCCAGAGTGGAGGGGTGTGTGTGGCACAGATGGATCCCCTGCAGTATCCCCATTTCCTCCACGGCGTATAAGGGGGTGGGGTGGGGGGCTACTTCCTGCCTACCCAGGAAGAATAAAATACGGCTTTCCTTGCAGGTATGGGATGCGCTACATGGCCAAGGTTTTGAAGGCAACCTTGACGGAGAAGTTCCCAGATGCCTCCAAGGAAGAGATCTACAAGGTCATTTGGGGGGGGGGGAGGGCACAAAAGCAGAACGGGCATCTCCCCCTCCCTCTTAGGCTCTGCTCTTTCCCCTCCATTTAAGGTTACTTTATGGCTTTCTCAGCCAACATGAGAATGTTGAGGGCACATTGGAAGAGGCCACAGCAGGGCTCCCCAACGCTTGGTCCCTGGGCCGACACCGGCCCACCCAAACACGCAGAGCCCCACGCAGGGGATGCAGGCAGCATGTGAAGCCCCACCCCCCCTCTCTCTGGTCCATGGAAAAACCTCCCCTGGAACCGGTCCCTGGGGGCCCAAAGGGGGGGGGGGCTACCGGGCAGGGATTCACGGCTGCTTCTGCCTGTCGCTGAAGAGGTGGTTATTTGTGACCAAACGAAAGCTCCGGCTAAAGGCAGCACGAATGTCCCAGCAGGTCACCCTCTCGACTGGATTGGCCTTCAAAACCAGCTTTCACCTGGGGAGGAGTCCTCAGGGAGAGCCCAGGGGGGGCCAGTCCAGAGGCCTCGGTTCCACCTTCTGCCCTCCAGGGCTGCCCAGAGGAGCCTCTCTCTGGAGCTGGAGGGAGCTGCCTTCGGAGCCCCTCACCGCAGCTCTCCAGAGGCCCAGTATTTTGATTCCATGCTCTCCATGCCAGCTCTTGGAAGGGGGGGGAATCGACTCGAGGACGGGGGGGGGGGGGGGGGGGGGGAGCTGGAACCAGTTCTAAACAGCACTGTAGATTTGTGGAACCTCTTCAGCAGAAGACTCGCACCACCCCCCCCCGGGCCAGAGCCGATGGGCTGCCCGTGGACCAGCCTTGCTCCTTGGCGTGAGACTTCTGCTCCCCCCGTCTTAGGTGGTGGGCAACCTCCTCTACTATCGCTTCATGAACCCGGCGGTGGTGGCGCCCGATGGCTTTGATGTGCTGGACTTCTCTGCTGGGGCACCCCTGCACCCCGACCAGAGGCGCAACCTGGCCTCCGTGGCCAAGATCCTGCAGCACGCAGCCGCCAACCAGCTTTTCGAGGGAGAAAACAGCCACTTGAACGTGGTAAATGAATACCTGGAGGAAACACACCAGAAATTCAGGTGGGTTGGGGGGTGAACCGTCCGTCTTGCCTGGCGCTACCTTCAGGTGCCCCCCCTCCCCCACTCCGGCCCTGAAGGAGGAGCAAGATGATGTTCCTCACCCCTCTTGGTGCAATGGGGCTGCTGCTCCATTCGCAGCTCTTGGGAGTCTGGGTGGGCATTCCTGACCTTTTAACTGGGCCTGTCCATCCCCCCCCCCGTGCCCACCTTATATGGGCAGTGTATAATCTACCCCCCCTGCTTAGCCTGTGGCCCCCCTGGGCTTCTGGCCAGAGGAAAAGGTGCAGCTGGAAGGGAGAAGTCCTTCCGTCTGCTCAAAAGGGCAGCTCGTCCGGAGGCATCCCAGAGATTCCAATGAATAAATGGACTGTTGGAAGGTCCGATGTAGAGATTTCCCCCCCCCCATCAAAGAACTTGGCCTTGGCTGTTTTGGGGAGGGGGGGAGGGCCCACCATGCCTAACCTGGTGAAAAGGGGGGACATGACCGCAGTCTTCCAAGACTTGAGAGGCTGCCACAAAGACGGGGGGCTCAACCTATTCTCCAAAGCACCAGAAGGAAGAGCAAGCAATGGGTGGAAACTAATCAAGGAGAGAAGCAAGCTGGGATTAAGGAGAAATTCCCTGACAGTGAGAACAATTAACCAGTGGAACAGCTTGCCACCAGAAGCTGTGGGTGCTCCAACAGTGGATGTTTTTAAGAGGAGGCTGGACAGTCACTTGTCTGGAATGGTCTCCTGCTTGAGCAGGGGTTGGGCTAGAACAGTGTTTCTCAACCTTGTCAACTTGAAGATGTCTGGACTTCAACTCCCAGAATTCCCCAGCCAGTGGTTAGGACAGTGTTTCTCAACCTTGTCAACTTGAAGATGTCTGGACTTCAACTCCCAGAATTCCCCAGCAGTGGTTAGGACAGTGTTTCTCAACCTTGTCAACTTGAAGATGTCTGGACTTCAACTCCCAGAATTCCCCAGCAGTGGTTAGGACAGTGTTTCTCAACCTTGTCAACTTGAAGATGTCTGGACTTCAACTCCCAGAGTTCCCCAG